TCCAAAAAGCGGAGCACTCCAAACCTCATGTTTTTAACAACGCTTTAGCAAACAGGAGGTTTCAATCTCAGACAGAGAAAATATTGCTAAAACTCAAAATGTTACGTGTGTGGTTCCTTTTTAATGAAATTGTGAAGGAAACGGAATTTTCTTTTTCACCAAAAAGTTTGATCGCTTCATGAAGCCATCAGGACAGAGAAAAGGGATCCAAAAATCTGGGAAGAAATTTTAATCAAAACTAATCATCTTGGAAAGCAAGATGAAACTAAGAAAAAGAAAAAGTGGGTCTTAAAACTTAAAATGGGTGCTTTAAGCTGTATTTTGAGAGAGGCCAGAAGCAGAGGCAAATTGGACTTAAGGTATTTTTTATTAGTATGTTTTTTGTAAAGTCCCTAGTAGTAAGATTCCGCAAAACTAGATTTTGAAATTTTACTTCAAATGCTTCCTCATTTCTTTCTTTTTTCTTTCTCTTTCATTTTATTTTTCTTTCATTTTCTTTCTTTCATTTTCTCTTCTTCTTTTTTCTATCTTTTTTCTTTTTTCTTTTCCCCTTTTTTCCTTTTCCCCTTTCTTCCTTCCTTTCCTTCCTTTCTTTTTCTTCCTCTCCTTTTTGTCTTTTCCTTCCATTCCTTCCTTCCTTTTTTCTTTGTCTTCCTTCCTCCCTCTTTCCTCTCTTGCCTTTTTCTCTCTCTCTTTCTCTCTCTTTTTTCCTCCCTTTTTTTTCTTTCTTATTTTTCCTTGATTAAATATACTGAAACTGGAACATTAACTAATTTCATTACATTCCATTTTTAAAAACACCAACAAAAAGATGTATTAGCACATACAAAAGTCAATTGGTTAAGGTAGTCAATTACTATTTTAGAAGCAGTAGTAAAATAACCAAATGTCAATTAAACAGCATACAAATGCTCTGTCTTTGCCACTCAAATCTATCAAGATAACTTGCTGAAGGGTTGATATGTTCCTGATAATTACAAAAAGCTTTAAACTGATTCCAAAGAAGTCTCAAGATGTTTCTGGGTTTGCATGGCTGTTTAAATGCCCAAAATCCTGAAATGATTTGAACATATTATAGTGTCTTTTTTCTTTTTACATAGCACAAACAGTTATAAAGAACCGATAGTTCTTTAGATAGTTCTTCAGATAGTTCTTTATTGATATGGCACTACTGGAGAGAGTCCAGCGGAGGGCTACCAACATGATTAGAGGGCTGGAGCACCTCTCCTATGAAGAAAGACTGCAAGAGCGGGGCCTGTTCAGCCTGGAGAAGAGAAGGTTGAGAGGCGATCTCATCAAGGTGTACAAGTATCTGAAGGGGGAGTGTCAAGAGGATGAGGCCAATCTCTTCTCCGTGGTGCCCAGCAACAGGACAAGAGGCAACGGGCAGAAACTGAACCACAGGAAGTTCCACCTAAACCTGAGAAAAAACTTCTTCACTGTGAGGGTGACAGAGCGTTGGAACAGGTTGCCCAGAGAGGTGGTGGAGTCTCCTTCGCTGGAGATATTCAAAACCCGTCTGGATGTGATCCTGGGCAATATGCTCTAGAGGACCCTGCTTGAGCAGGGGGGTTGGACTAGATCATCTCCAGAGGTCCCTTCCAACCTAAACCATTCTGTGATTCTGTGATAGCACAGATACCAGTAGCTGCACCCCGCTGCTGTCAATGGTTGCTAGAAGCCTGCAGAGCACAGCAGTCTGAGCATCACTGGGAAGTCTGAGCTACTGAATGGGAAATATCCCATTACTCTGCACTGTCCGTGTGCTCCAACTGATGAGCAATGCCAGTGAAATCCTCTGGGGATTTTCGGTCTGATTCTCAATCTGTTTAAATCATGCTGGCATGGCTCTGCAGTATCACTACGCCCGTTCAGCTCATGCAAGCACTGGGTCTTTTGCTTCCTTTTCTGTAAAATGGCAGTTCCTGTTGAGGTGACATCAGAGGAAACATCTTTGATTCATAACAACCAAGTAGCTACATCAAGGAGAGATGGGAGCCGCAGCCAGGCTGGCTTTCATCATGACTGAGATCAACAGGAACTTGAACTTTTGTGCCAGCCCAGTGTAGGAATAGTCTCTGGTCTGAAGCTAGCAGTGAAGGTCAGAGGCTGCCAGGCATTACTGGCAGCGCCTTGCGCCATCCTGGGCTTCCTGTTATAGCTCAGATGCAGGAATCCTCCCACATGGCCCTGGGGCAGGTCTGAGCCTCCAGACAAAAGGCAGCGATGGGGAAGGGAAGCTGCCAGAAGATCTTCTAGTTTCGTACTGATTGATGAACACGGTGGCTCCTGCTGCAGAGAGAACCTTTTATCACAGTTTCCTAAGCTTAAGCAAAGGGGAGTTTTTTCTTAATTTTGGCCAGGATGCCCTTTCCAATTAAATAAATCAGTTCTTTTAAAAGGAGTGGTTTAAATTTTTCCTTCCCAAAAGCAGCTGTTCAGAACATGAAACTGATTTGCATCCGTCTAGATTTTAACACTAGTAAGGCCTTTGCATCTACAAAATGGGACACGGCTGGGAAGAGTCTCCAGGACATACCATCATGGCTAAGTGTGTGAACAATGAATAGTGATGACTGAGACATAGCCTATACACAAGCAAAGGTAATCGTATCTACTGATGCCTTGTCTACATTATATGGATTTATATGTGCTGCTATTGCAAATGCACCTGTGCTTTTTCTACCTCATTTCTGCCTTGCTTGCCTGCAGTTCTGGTTCAAATCTTAGCAAAAACCTGAGCACTCTAAAACATGTCAAATAGGACCTTTCCCAACAAAGATGTTTCCAGCTGACCTATGAATGCACAGACAAGGTACATCAGCTATGCAATACCTGAGACAACATAACCTAATCTTCACCGCTGTGACAAATACCGTGTTATGTAGTGGAATCTATACTTTTCTCCCTGCCTCTCCTTTTCATTACAATTGTTGTATGTAAATAAAGCTACAGAGCAAGTGGTGCAGTTTTTTCTCACCTGCTCATTCACAAGAGGCATTGCCTATAAGATAGCACAGTATTTTGGGTTTTTTTTTCTCCCCATTTCTATTTCCTCCTTCTCATGAACGATTAACTGTGAAAAAGGGCAGTGCAAATTCATTTCCCATAAAGAAATGGAAATTATAGCATTGCCACAGTGGAAACTTATGACTACGAGAGATTTTAGCTTTGATGACTCTGAACATGTTGTTTGCTTTGGGCAAGCAACAATTCCTCTGACAAAGGGATTTATTGTTTCGATAGTCAAACTAAAGCTCTCTGAACTGATTCTCGCTCTCAGATGCTAATTACAGAGAGAGCTGACATAGAAGACCTATGACCTACTACTACTGCTATTATGCATACAAGCTTTGCGTAGGAATGTTAATATTTAACTTCTGAGGTAGCTGGGCATGTGTGTTTATGGAAGAGATTCTGCAATGCTGGGCTTTCTCCTGGTGTTTCGCCCCGACCTTAGAAATTCCATAGCTAACTGGAAAATTGTACAGCTTTGCCTCACAATGTTAGAAGAATTTACATGATGGAATGTCACATATATGAGCAAACTGCTTGCTTAGTCAACAAAAGTCAGAGAAATAGAGTTAATATTAGGTGTACTGTATTCGTATGGTGTTTCCTATTACCACGGAAAGGAAGTAATGTCATTTGTGGCTGGAACCCGCATTTGGTTGACTTTCTAATGTTGGGGAAAGGTTTGGTGGAGGTAGGGAGAAACTCCGTGCTGTGCTCATTACGTCAATACTCAGTATGTAACGTTAGTTAGCTTCACACAGAGAGAGTGAGTTTGTGTTTGGAGTACTCTGAGGAGTGTACTAGGGGATTTTGCCTATAGAAAGAGGCAACAGAAAGAGCCGATTAAAAAATGTAAAATAAAAAATGGAATGACACACTTTTGGATCAAATTCAAGTGGAATTAGGGGGAGGGGGCAACAAATCTTTATGCTTTGCAGCTGCGCACTGTGGAGCTGGAGATGGATTTTGATCTCCATCTGCCAAAAAAAGAACACAGGTAATCTTCAGGGCAGAGCAGAGGTAGGAAGCGATACAGAGAGAGTCAACATTCACTGCATGGTAGCTGCAGGGGTTATTTAGTAACTTAACAGGACACCATCACCTGCTCCCTGTAACCTAGAATGTCCTAGTCTCATTAACGTCATGCTTTCTGCCTCACAACAAGAGCAGAATCCAACTGAGTCTCTCCTCTTTCGGGATCTGTGGGAGACAGGCACACTCACTCCTATTTGTGAGGTTAGGCTGTAAACGATCTGCCTATAAAACACAGGATCAAATGAGCCCTCCAGCATGCAAGACATTTCAAGAGCTAGAGAACAGGAGTTGATAACCAGAACTGAGTATCTATAGCCCACCGGCCACGTGAGCTAAGGAAACCCATGTATCAGATCACCAAAAAAAGTCCCTGGATTGCATTTTTGACACAAAAAAAGAAGTACAAATCTATGAACATTTTTTTAAATATAAATCATTTCCTTTCCCTTCCTCTATCCATGTCCTCTCAGACAGCTTTAAAAGAGAGCTCATTCTTGCCCGAGTTCAGGAATTTACTGACATTGGTCAACTGTTTTGTCTGTGTGACAGGTAAGTTTTCCATGGACCTGTTGTGGTGTACTTGCTCAGCATGGTGTCAGGATGGCAAAGGGAGGAGCAAGGACATACAGTTCCCAAAATGAGCAGCTCCAGGCACATCCTTGTACTCTTGCATGACGGTGAGGAGAAACAGCCATGCTGTCTCTGTGCGAGCAGTTTCATCATTCTTTTGGGAAAGTAGTCAGTGGAAGTTCCCTCACACAAGGCTTTCTCCTTGCTTTGACACCTGTATTGTTTGTCTGCTGAATGACAGTTACTGATCTGCCAGTAATCTGCCCTGAATAAGGAATGGTAGGTAGGTTCACACCCAGAAGCTCAATAGACATTTCATAATGACATGAAAAGCGGAGTGTTTACTTTTTGCCTAGATCAAACACAATATAAACAGTTACCTCTTTTTCCATCTTGCTTCTTGTGCCGAGTCTGATTACCTGGCTAGCAGGCGCTCAATACAGCAGGACAGGGAAGGACAGCTCTGCTCCTCACCCTCCTGCATCCGTGCAGGTGGGGCAGGAGAGACCTGCTCCTTGGATGAAGCAACTTCATCTTCAAGTCTTCACCCTCATAGTCACTTCCTCGCATCTGAACCGCATGGGGACCATGTCTCCCAGCTCAGCGTTCACCTTCTTAGCTCTCTAGTTAATGTTTCCAATAATTAAATACCACTTCCTGTTTACCTTGCTTCACTCCCCAAACTGACCAGTCTTTGACTAGAAGCAAGCATTTCCAAGATAAATGATAAGTGACCAATGACCATACAGCAAAGGAAAGATGAAAACTGTCCTACAGGTTGTTCCTGTAACATAGAAGACATGATTCAACAACATGAAGATCCCAGGTACAAGCTTTTCACTCAATTCAAAGCTGCCTATAATCAGTATGGTGAGCGAGTAGCAGGAAAGGCAGCTAAACACAGGAAACGCATTGTATTTTATTTTTCAGGGTTTGTTAATTTGGAAAGTAAAATGGTACACTGGAATCAATGCCTGCTTTTCCTTCTTACTGCCATTGAGGTGATAATATCAGTGAAAATAATGAGCTAGTTATAAAAATGTTGCATGATACAATAAAATCTACCAGCAAAGTGATTTCTACAGGATTGGAGCCTTACAGTTGTGTCTGCCTACACGTGCATCAAAAAACAGCGATTGCTGCATTGCAGTGATCACAAAGACAGTGCGTGTGGCTGTCCTCTGGCTTGGAGAAATAAGAAAACAATCTCTCCTTCTTCTTTGATGTTGTTTTCTTCTCCCTTGGAGAAGCTGGTAACAGCCAGTTGCAACCTCTCTTTGTCACAGCCTGGTACCATAAACCTGTAAATGAGCTGTCCTATACAAAGATTAATCATTGCAATGCTTGCAATATAAAAGAGTTTTACATGCTTAACCTCACCCCAAAACAGCTGGAACCTCAAAGCACGAAAGAAAATGCTACAGCTTGTGTAACCGATGGGCAAATGTGGTAATGAATGTTTTGTGTGAAAATAGAATGAAAGCAACAGGCCATACAGCACGCAACGGGAAAAAAGCACTGGAACCAACAACTGAGTTGCTTGTGCCTAATACAAAATTGTCCTTCACTTCACTGGACATGAACAGAAAGAAAATATTCAAGTCTTGGCCAGGAATGGAGAAAGCAAACACTGGGAAAACTCACAGCAGGGGGACATGCTGAGACACAACTTCACATTGTTATTATCATTCTATTCTTACTAGTTACCATCTGGGCACCCACACCTGCACCTGTATCTTGAATAAGAAGCCTTCTGCAAAATTTCTATCAGAAAAGCGTAGTGGCTAGAAACGCAGTTGCTGTGGTTAAGTCTGAAACAATTCAATTCCCATTAATATTATCTCAGTCTGTATGTCAGAGCAGCTGGGAATGAGATAGACAAAATATATTCAAAGAGCAAAGCCTCTCTTTTATGTCCTCTTTCTGTTTAATTACTTTTGGCTGCAGAGATGTCATATTAGTGGTAAAGGAAAGTTTGAAAAGACTTTTGGCCCTCCCTTCAAATAACAGTAAGATTAATTCAAATAACTGATTGATATCGTAAACCTTCTCATAACAAGGACTGTTCAGCACTTTCAGAACAAAGAAATTGACAAAGAAATTAATATTGTTGAGATGAAATAAAAATAAATATGTGCTGATCTCCTGTTTTGTGGCTACAGTTAGTAACTATTCCTAATAAAGAACAATTTTTCAGAAAGTTTAATTTAAAAAGTAGAAAAGTATAAGACAAAATTATCGTACAATGCAGAATTACAGGAAGTGTGTTTCTGCAATAAAAGAAATGGCACTCTAAAAATAACTTTTTGGAGTTCCACTTTTTTTTATTTATGAAGAAATACATTGAGAAATTATTGAAGTATTTGTATGTTCCTTTTTAAAATTCAGCTTTGCTCTGAACACCTTTTTAAAGGATAAAATTAAAGGATATGGAGTCTAATGCCCACTTTCAGCTTCTGCTCATGTGCTGTTGGCCTCCCTGGTGGTTTGCTTCATGATAATCTATATGAAACTAACTACACAAAGAGAACTGACTACCTTAACTTTCTGTCCTTGAAATTCCGTGCTACATGACTCAAGTGGACACTGAAAACCTAAGTTTCATATTTCTTCAAATTTTCCAATGGAATTTCAAATCTCTGTTGAGAATTTAAGGCAATTGGGGGGAGCTTGCTTTTTTAAAAGCTCATTTATAAGCCTCTTACAAGAGGCTGTTGGCCAGCTTGAGAATCTCTGTTCCACAGAACATATAAGAGAGACCCAGCGTGTGCATTATTCATTCCCTAAGTAAGTCAGAGGATCAATATGGGTTACCTGATCTGCTATTTGAGAAAGGTGGAAGCATGCTTCAGGTCTGATCTTGATCCATTTAAAACCAGTGGAAACTTTTCCTATCCTCAGGTCTGGCGGTGCCTGGCGGTAAGCATAGGGATACCTTCCTGCAAGCACTTAAGTCAGTCTCAGACAAGTCTGAAACAGAATTTCCTGTCTAAGCATTGTAGCTCTGGTACCAAAGAGGCTTTTTTGTGAACACTGGACCTAAAACTATTTCCACAGAACACAAAGCTGAAACGGCCATTGTATTAGAGAGAGTAGGATTAAGCCTCTATCACTTTCTCTTTAAGTATGGACTATTTCTTTTTCCTCTGTATGAACTCCAGATACATTGTTATTAATTCAGATTTAGCTTCTATCACGAAAGGAAGATAAAAGCAAAAAAAGAAAAGATAGAAAGCACTGTTTAAATATAGCTGAGTAGATACACCTGGGGACTGTGGAAGACTAGCAGGGCTAAGGTCTCATCCCTTCCTAGACATCTTCCTCCATGTCTGGTGTATAACGGGAATGCCAATGCACGGTCCCTCTCTTTTCCCCCCACTACTGTGGTTGCTAGAGACTATTACATGCTGAGGCTACTGAATGTTTAGCACTTAGGGTTGGTAATACTGTAGTCCCATTTATTACAACATGACTTCAGCAATGCTAACATTCACAGCAATTACAGAAGCTAAAGTCATATCGTAAAACAACCACTAGAGTCATTTCAGAAATTTTCCTTGCTTGTCAGAAGTTGAGGGATGCTTCAGTGGTTAATGTGTGAAACATCTTTGCTTTCCAAATAGGCCTTGAATGACCTCATTTGTTAACAGTCATAGGAGGTATTAAAGCTCTTATTACATAATGTAAAATATCTTTTCACAACTGCCAGGAACTTGGAATTTTCTGACAGGTAATAAATGATGCAACCAGCTGCCTGAATCATGACTGGTTACTGAATCGTACTGTGAACTCCTGGAAGCCCTTGTAAGATGGGGCTCCATTGTTGGTTTGTGCCTCTAGGCTTTAGCATAAAAGAAATACATATATATTAATAATTACACAGCAAAATAGCAAATCGTCATGGTTTCCTTTTCTTCAAGGTATTCAGCTGACTTTCCTTAATTTGTGTTCACCTACCCCTTCAAAACAGCAATAAAAACATACAACTGGAGTATTTTTCATAATGATCCCACTTTGCACTGACATACATGCACTAGAGTTAAATTGAAATACTATCAATACAGTGTTTCACACATGGATCTCAGCTTGTTCTGCTGGAACCCTGAGCCTGATCACAAGTTGTATGGCAGTAGCTAGCACAGTGCCAAGCCTGAACTGTGTGCCCTCTTCAGAAGGGTGCAAACCTCCTTGTGAAATACCATGTAAGCATAACCTTAGTCATTGGAACTACTAGCAAGAATAACTCTCCTCTCCCTTCTCCACCACTAAATGCACGTCTGCATAGTCAACTTACAGCTCACTGAACAAACTCACAATACTCTACATGTCATTAGATTAATGAATGAATTAATTAATTCAGTATGAGCTTGCTACATCCCCATGACTGTATGCAATATCAAAGGGTCTTTAGAGGAGCAGGCTGCACAAGAGCCATAGATGAAAGACCACAGCTTTTGCGTTGGCTAGGGTAGCCCACGGCAGGTAATTTGCAGCCTGGGTGAAGGGAGGAGCTGAGAAAAACGTGCTGTTCATTTCCTCCCATTTTGTTGGGAGAGGAAAAATTGTCAAAGGCACTGAAAGATGTTTTGAACTACTCCAACATTTTAGTAGTACATTGCAAAAACTCTTGGAAATTGCCAGCTTTGTGTGGGACTTGGCCCTCAGAGTCGTTCTTTTCCGGTAGCCGAGGAGCTGGCCTCAGGAAACGTAAAACAACAGCTGAATTGTCGGGAGGATGACAGTGATCAAAAATTTCTCACCTTTTTGAATAGTAAGAAAATTGGCCATGAAGATAAAGGCTTTTGGGTGGAGGACAAGCCTTTCTCCAGAGCTGGCCCAAGCCTTCTGAATGAAACCCTCCAGGAAGGCAGCAAATGTCATTGCCTTTCACTCCAAATGCACTTTTTTTTTTTTAACCCTACCTGTAACATGTTTATAAAGAGCAAACAAAGCCTCCTTATTGCCCTCCTAATCAGTCCACACCCCCTCCTCTGGGGAAAACAGCAATGTGGGTTACACACATGCCCATTGCTCAGATACTATATGTATTGTCATAGCATGGAGGGAGAGAGGAGAGGAGAGGAGAGGAGAGGAGAGGAGCGGAGAGGAGAGGAGAGGACCAGCTAGTGCTTTGTTTGTACTTGTATTTTACATTTACATTCACCCCTACATTGAACAAGAATTAGCTCTGATCTGAAAGTTAAGTACCTACAGTAACATAATAATGGCCAATTAATTAGGTCAGGCCACAGTATACTGTTAGACAGCTTCTATTTTGGAGGTAGTGGAGGGACTACTAGCTTAGCAGATGAATAGGGTAAACATTTTATCCTCTCCATCTCAGGAGAGACACCTGCGCTCCCCTTCTCGAACGGTCCCACTGAACGTACTATACTAGAAACAAACTACTGTTGTACAAAGCTTAGGTTTTTTTTTTTTTTCATAGAAGTGGGATATATATTTTCCCCTCTATTGTTTCACATTTCTTCCAAGGTTTGATCTGGATTCAAGTAGCTTGGAATTGGAGTTTTTAGTAAAGATCATTGATATATTAATATTATACAGCATTTCCTGATAAAGTCACATAAATCATTGTTTGATGAATTGTGTAAAAGAGCAGAGTTCCCTTCTCACCGCTGCTACATTAATAATAGAAATAATAAAACTCGATCGTTGGCATTAATCTACAAATTGACATTCATGCAAAGCTAGCCAGGTGCTGAAGGAAATTCCATCAAGAGGAACTGTACTGATTACACAGTTTCTGTTAGTCTTCCTTTTACTAATGCTATGCAAACAGTTTTTTCCTGGATTGTGGTGAAATACATGTGTCATTCCATGAAGCAAAAACATTGTCAATCCTTCAAAAGGAAGTAAAACCATTTTTCAAGCAGGCCCTTGTTTTCGGTAGAATATTCCTGCTAATAGAAAGACTTTCAGTACGCCATTTCTGCCAATAAGGAGTGTATCCAGTGCCTTAGAGGAAAGCAAAACACTGACATAGAGCTTCCATCTTTCTCTTTTTCAGTGTCATAGGGGAAGTGGGATAAAATGATGGGATTGCTTTTCTCCAAATTTCCCCTTAAGAATATGTGAGCTCATAATGGAAAACCAGACTGTCATCAAAAGATATTTTCACAATCTCTATGTTTTAATATTTAAAAATTCCACTCTGATGGATCATAGCAAACTATCCTGGCATGGAAGTTCCACACAGATGTATCTACACTCCATAATTGGCATCTAGGATTCTTGACACAAAGTTTGGGCACTTTATTATTCATTTGTCCTGTAACAGTAACTGAGCTAAGGCAAATAGGTGTGCTGTAGGCATATAAGTATAAAGAACTTGCACTCTGAAAATGTGCATTTATTTACATTAATCATTAACTAGTCACATTTTAAGACTGAATAGGCATTCAAAGACAACCACCAGATTGGGCAGATGTTCAAGCTGAGCATTAGTTTGACATAACAGTCGAAAAAGAAAAGCCATAATACGCGGCTGATATAAGCAAACAGGCAAGTTTAGATTTTAGGAAGGAATTAAGCAATGTGCCTGTATGGTTATTTGTGCACGTATTTATCTGCTCAGTGACTGTGAAGGCAGCTCTCAACTTCTCCTGGTCGTTGCTGGTTTGCTGTTTAATTTGTATGTTAAGACAGAAGTGAGTTTTGAAAATAGTCTTACGTGGGAATAATGTGTTGCTTAAACTTGATTCAGCCCAAGGTGTTTCTGATTTGTGAAAGGAGAGCTGCCCAAAGTGCTTCCCGGAGGCTGCAATTAGAACGATTGGCTGAGGCTGCCAGAGAAGAGGGGCAGCACTGCTCAGCCCTCAGCCCCGGTTCCTGGGGACGCTTGTGCACAAAGTGTGCTCTGTGGTGCATCGTGCAGTCTTGGTCTCCTGAACGTCCCCACTGGGGAAGGCGTCAAAGCTGACACCCTGAAGCTGAACTGAAGCTTCCTCCCTGTG